GGGGGGGGGGGGGGGGGGGGGGGGGGGGGGGGGGGGGGGGGGGGGGGGGGGGGGGGGGGGGGGGGGGGGGGGGGGGGGGGGGGGGGGGGGGGGAGGGGGGGGGGGGGGAGAGCGGCGGGCTACGGGCACGCAGAGACAGCGAACGTATCTTCTTGTTTGATGTAAGAATTCGACTGTATGTTTTGCGCTCGAAGTTACACACGACGAGCTTCATGTCCGGTTGATGTTTCTTTTTCTTTTTGTCCGTGCTTGCCAGTCCTTCCAACTAGTTGTTGAGGGCTCCCTCGCGAATAATGGCAGCATTCCATTTTCGTGTCCGCTCCATCCCCCTACCGATCGATTCGGACGCGCGTGCGATCATGTCCACAGTCTTTTGTCGTGTTTCCTTCTCGATCGAGGTCGTTTGGGATTCATTCTTAACCTTGGCGGCTTTTTTCAGTGTGGCCCGTGCGCATGTTCTAACGACCTGTCCAAAAAAGTATTCGTGGAGCGCAACGTTCTTCATTGGCATGTCCTGTTGTGCGCTCTCTTGTGCCCTAGTCAGTAGTACCGAGTCACGATGGGTGGTACGTCGAAAATTCTCCTATACAGTACACACGGCAGAGGTTGTGGCGATCCCAACGGAAACTTGTCCATTCTCCACATCATGCTGCGTGCCCCCGGTATTTACAGCACCTAGCTACTGGTTGTCGCCCCCCGTGGCCGAATGATGGTAAAACCTCGTAACCCTACCGGCAGCATGAATTCGGCTCTCATTCTGGAGCGAAAGGAGTCAAGTTGTTGATGCGTTCACATTAAAAACCGTTCCAGTCTCCGCTCGGTACCCTCCAATATCCATACTGCTCCAACTGACGCGGACGCCTTCCGCGGTCACAAGCCAACGACACAACAGGGGCACACATCTTTCTATCACGAACAAGTAGAAAAGGGCCAGTACAAAGTCCTCCAAACGCGATCTCTGCATGGTACAAAAAAAAGAAAGTAGCCAAGCTGTGAATTTGGTTCCTCTCTGAGGAATGAAAGGAGTGAAAAAAAAGCGCAGTTTACCATGGAAAGCACTTGATTTGCGAGAGGACACAAGCCCGACTTCACGGTCGACGAGGGAAAGGGACGGCTGAGACCTTCTCGGAACAACATACTGACAACGCAAGCACCCCAAGAGGCACGGTGGGGCGCTAAAACCAAAAATACTACAAATAAAAATATCCTTTCCGTATGATCTACCTGCCTCCTCCTGTCTGTGTCCCCGCCGGCTCATGCAAACACAAATCGACCAGATGGTACGAACATACAAACACATGCAGACCAGACCATGGCCCACACCTATTAGCATCTTATCCGCAATGAGAGTGACTTGCTTTCATCGGTCAGTCGCTTAGAATCGAATGGGAAAGGCGCACGCATACACGCGTTTGTGCATGAAGAGAAACACTGTCTGAAACGCTTCATGCTAGGAAACGCACCGACAGGAAAGCATGATGCAGGCAGGCAGTACACAAACGGTTTGGTGGACGCGGACTATTCTGGAATCACACCGTTGATGCCGCCGGCGCCTATAGCACGCAGCTCACCCAGAACCAACGCTTCCCACCTTGCATCGAAGCCCACTCCATGTATCCAAAGAGTGTCGCAGAAGAAGGTGCATCTTCGATGGCAAACGGTTCCGGACTGACGAACACAGAAAACAATCGCGAGGAAAATCGTGACCGTGGTTCTACCCATATTCACAACAGAAAACTGGCCCTGGTTTTACAAATAATCCAAGAACTCGAAACCCCACCTTACACCCGATCCAACAAAGCGGGCTACCCCTCAGGGATCAAACACTGAGACACAGGGAACAAATAAGACTGACATTCTTTACGCGGGTTTGCGCGTCTTTGGCCGTTCTCAGGTCAGAGTCCGTTCTGCCAAAAACAACGTAGCTTTCGCTCGTCGTACGCAGTTGGGGGGTCACTCCGAACCGGACTACCGAAGAGCGACATTTAGGTGCGGCGCCCCTGTTCAGGCCTGTAGTTGCTCCGAAACCGAACAGACTCAGCTACCCGCGTAGCTTGATGACTCTCTGCACCTTGTCGACCACCCTCCTGCATAGGATGCACGGCTTCCCCTCGTAGGCGGAACCGCACCGCGAGCACGTGCAGTGGTGGGCGCACGGCAGGAACAGGATCTGAAGACAAAAGGGGTACCAGAAGGCGGCGGTGGCGAAAAACGGATGGGAGTGTCAGGTTTCCGGCTGCTTTCTGGTACAAGATACCGGAGCGACAAGCCAGTTTGCCCGCCCCCCCCCCCAAAAAAAAATAACACTGGTTCATTCTAGCCTGCCCTCGCACACACAAGGGACGAGAGATACGCACCTACACCACCTTGGTTGCAACAACAACAGCAGCAACCATACCCCAATGAGCAACATTAAGCTGACGGCAAAGATAGTCATTCCTCCACTGGAGGATCTCACGTCCACGAGTGCGTCCAAGCAGATCTTGCACGTGTCCGGGTGGTCCGGGTCCAAGCCGTCCGAGTCTTCGTCGGAGTCATCCACACCGCCGGCACCACTGCCCTTGAGGGCATTCAAGATGCGGATCTGCTCGCCCTGTTCACGCGGAGCAAAAGGCGGTGCGTGAACGAGACTAGCGAGAGAGCAGCGACCGCCGTAGAGGGAGTACGGCCACGTGGGTGCAGGTCTTTGAGGCACGAGCACAGGGAAGAGGGGACAGCAACGCAAACGAAAGGGGCTTGGGAGTCCACATTGGTTCTCCGCCTCTGCTCTCCTCTCCTCCCTCTCGGCAAGTTACGCACACGGGTTCATCCAACACCACGTGCGCACGTACCGTGCCGGTGTCGTCTTCTCCTGGTATTGAAAAAGCATCCCGATCGCCTTCTCGTCACGCCATGGGGCCGGGCAACAACAAAACAAACAAGCAGCAGAGCCCGGCCGCAATGAAGCGCATCCAGCGGCAGTCAAGTCGCAGCTCACCACGGTGACCCCCATCCTCTCAAAGTCCCTCCTGTCCATCATCAGCAGCACCTCCCCGTCCAGCTGGTCCTCCCGGAACCTCTCGAGGTGGTGCTCACACCCGGCCACCCTCAACAGCTGCCGTAGCTCTCCCCCCCACGCGCCATCCTCCACAACCACGGGTGCGGCGCCCCCGCCCCCGCCCCCACCGGGACCCCCAGTAACCGGTTGCGCGGGGCGGGCTCGGGCACCCTCGGCCTTGCGGGCGGCGGCGACGGCGGAGGAAGGTGGCGGCAGAGCGGTGGGCTGGCAGCCCTTGGAGCGGTAGAACTCCTCTACTAAT